AGTTGATACCGTTTGATGTCTCATTAAAGAACGTAGGTTTCTGGTCATTATTTCATTCGCAGCAAAAGCAGACACACCTTGCCTCAAGGCTGCAAGCTGCAGTGGTGGGCTGGTGGCTCTGGATGTGCCTGGAGCGTGGTGACATTGGGTGGTGCTGAGCCAAACCAGATTTATGGCAGAGCACAGCTGCAAACAGGGCTGGAAGCAGCTTCACTACATTCCCACACTGCAACCGCTCATTGTAATCCCCTAATAGCAGGAATCAAGGCAATTTAACGAGCACTTAATTAATTAATTAAGTATTAATGACGGCAAATGTGAGGGGATGCGCGTTTGTCGGCCTCAATTAGGGGCTGATGCTGAACTTCAGCTATTGGGAAAGTGGAGCAAAATGATGGATCAGTGCCACTGAACTGAGGGCAGAAACTGTCCCTGCTTTGCTCTTTTCATCCTTTCCTTCCAGCTTCCAAGGGGCGTTGCTCACTGCTGGGGGTGGGGAGCAGCTCAGCATCCTTGGGCAGCTTCTGGTCCAGTACCAAATCTGGTGCTGCAGATGGGGCAAAAATTAGCACTGCACAAGAGGGGGGAAAGCAAAGCAGGTGGGGCAGGCAGCATGGTGTGATGGCCTCGTTAACTTTGTTAGCTCTATGGGCTGGAGATCCAGGTGTCTGCAGTGCACAGCCCAGGCAGCCCCCAGGGCCAGGTGTTGGGCATACAAAGGCTTTGCATGAATTTGTAGCCCTGAGAATGCACCAGTTGCATCAATGAGAGGGCTACAGGGGCTTGCAGGGAAGGATGCTTTTGCAGACAGGTTCACCATTGCACTAACCCCAGAGTTTGCACTAACCCCAGAGTTTGCACTAACCACAGGGCTTGCAGTGCTCATGGGAGCACGGATGGGGCCATGCAATGGGAGAAACTCCAGATTTTGCTCAATTGCTTTTTGGTGCAGGGATTCAGCTGTGGGCTGCAGAAGTGTTTTCCCTCTTGCTCTGAGCCTTCCCCTGCAAGGTGCATTCTTGCAAAGGCACAGCGTGGCTGTGGGGCTGAACGGGCTCCTCCCTAAGGATCACAGGGAATATTTCTGAGGATGTGCCCTGCCTGGGAGCAACACAGAGCTGAGTCCCTGGGGATGTACCTGCCCCCTCCGGAGAGGTCCCACATCCACGTGTAGTGCTGATCAGTCAAGGATTCACTTCTGATTACAAATTACAGAGCACAGGGGAAGCAACGTGCCTCTGAAGCTGTAATTACAATGGAAGCTCCACTAATAGCCCTTGATGAGTCCCTTGGAGAGGGAAAAGTTCTTTGACTTGCACAAGGGAGGGGGAGTCTTAACACTGAGAGCAAGAAATGGAACGTATGGTGGCACGTGGTTCTGTGTGCTGCATGTTGGGGAAGCTGGAAAGGAGTAAATTGTGGGCAAAGCAATTGGAACCCCGTGATTGGAGGGAGAAGCAAGCCAGCTTTGCTTCACTGCATGGGGTCTGTGCTAATGCAGGTCATGGGCGGATAGTGCTCGTGGTCCTGGCTCTGGAACAAGACCTAACTCTGTTAATGAAGCTGGCTTTAATTAAGCATTCAGCCCGTGCAGCTCCTGCAGACGCGGTGCTGGTTCACAAACACCGTGGCTCACATCCAGTGCTGGCTGAGCAAAAGCTGTGTAAGCTCAGTGTCTGATGGCGACTCCATCATCTCCTGCTCCTGTCACCTACATCGCAGAATAAAATTTACAGGGCTTAAAAGATTTGTGTATAGCGGTGCTCGGAAGAGAGCTGATTCCATCTGAGCCTGTGATTATTTATTCTCCTTTATCATACAACGTGCAACATATGGGCCCCTTTCTCCGCTGCGGATGACTAAATGATGGCATCTGGTACTCTATTATGCAGCAAGTGTAAAGCAAATGAGAAAAGATCCTCTTCAAACAACACTTTGCTATTGTTGCAGAGACGCTCTCTGTATTTTCATTCAAAGGTGTTGCTTTGCAGACTTCCAACACCACCCGGTTCAGAGCCAGCCCTGTTTCTTGGAGATGCTGCAAATGTCTGGGAGCTGCTTTTATTCTCAGTTCTTCTGCTGGTTCCACAGATGGGAACAGCCTTCACCGGCTGCACCTTCGCACCTGGGAGCTGTCTGTGGCTCAGATGGGACCTGCAGGGTGCGGGGATGGCTGCGTGTTGTGCTGAGCTGCTCTCACTGCTGTTGCCCTGAAGTGAGCAGCAGTGTGGATTTGGGTGGATTTGGGGAACTCCGGGGCCCATGGGCGATGCTGCAAAGTTGTTTTTTTTTGTCAGCACTTAAATAGCAGCATCGATGCTCATAGGAGCAGGGGAAGGGAGCTAGTGATTCTGTGCTTGCCTGGCTAATGGGCAACGAGAGCCTAGGAGGGTTCACTGTTACACCAAGACCCCTTGACATTCATTCTGAGCTTTTCTAGGGTCTCTCCTTGGTCCCGTGCAGGGGAAGACCTGGAACTGCCATCTTATCATGGCTGGGACCCTTGGCTTGGCTGGGAGATGGATGTTCTGCAGGGCTACTTTGAGCATGGTTCCATCTGGTCCTGCAAACCTGCAGCAGGTTAGAGACTGAAACAACTGGGAACCATCAAAGTGGTGAGCAAAGCACCTCCATGTTCCTGGGTGGGAACTTTTTGTGGCAAAATTGTTCATAGAAAAGGAATTACTTCTGCTTGGCTGAGCTGTGAGCCCATGGGCCCAGGGCCATGGGGCAGGATTGGATGTGGAGAGGGCAGGATTCCCCCCAAAGAGCCTGGCCTTTTCTCCACCCTCACCACCAGTCAAGTTCTTCACAACATCTCCTTCTCTCCCTATCTGCAATTGAAGCCCAATATAGAATATAGCTGCTGATTGGTTATTAAGTCAAAGCCAAAGGCATTTTACCTTCTCTCAAGAACTACAGGCTGGTGCACAAAGGGAGCAAATGTTCAGAAGATGCTTTGGAGGTGAGCTGGAGCTCTGCTCTCACCAAGATCTCACAAATCATAGAATCATAATGGTTGACAAAGACCAATAAGATCATCTGGTCCAACAAAAGAGATGTGGAGCACAGTATGGGCTTCAGATGGCTCATGTCATGTCAACTTTGTTGTAATCACCCCAGCTCCATACCTGAAGGGTTCCTAGGCTCGTTTTTCATCCTACAGGGTCCACAACGTGGCTCTATTTTGTGACTCACCCCTTTTCAGGTTCCTCAGAGAAGTGTGGGTGCCCCATCACTGGAGGTCCCAGGGCCATGGATGAGACCCTGGGCAGCCTGAGGTGGTGGTGGGGCACCCAGCCCATGGCAAGGGATGGAACTAGATGGGCTTTAAGATCCCTTCTAGCCCAACCTGCAACGATTCCACGTTTCTGCAACCTTTATGGTCCCTTCCAACCCAACCATGCTGTCATTCTATGGTTCTATAATCTCTGTGATCCCTTCCAGCACAGCCACACTGGGTTCTATGATCCCATGGTTCTATGATCTTCAAGGTCCTTTCCAACCCAATCAAGCCATGATTTCATGGTTCTGTGATCTTTGAGGTCCTTTCCAACCCACACCATGATTCTGTAACTCTCCCCTACATCTCCAGAAGACCCCCAGATAGCCCCAAAAGAAGCACCTCACACCTAGCCCCTAGGTCATAGGCTCATAGTCCATCACCATATGTTTACGCCTTTATTTTAGAACATGATTAATGTTACTACATATTTCAACGAATGTTTCTCTTCAGCCATCGTGCTCTGCCAGCACAGTGCGTTCAGTGTTTCGAGCAAAGCATGGCAAATTGGATGCTGCTTTAAAACACAGAGAAGGAGGGGTTAGGGAAGTGCTATTTTCTGCTCTCTAGCAAAAAGTATTGCAGAGCATTTAGCGAAGATAAAGAGAAATAGGAGAGCCTGCCAAGCTTCAGACAGAAGGCAAACAAGGTAGATTAGGCCGTGGGGGCCAGAGAGTGACTGTTTTTCCTCCAGCATGTTCTGGGCTTGCAATTAAGGTTTCTGTGGTGGGTTGCAGTGTTCTGCTTTTCTTATTTTTGCATTTATGCTAAATAAAGTGGTAACAACAGAAGGGTTTGCATTGCACTATTACTGAGCAGTCCGTGTTACTTTGTGCAAGGTGAAGTGCAAGGATGAGTTGTCAGCAGCATGGGTGCAAGGAAAGTGGATGGCTGAGGTCACTGTATCTTGCTGCAGAGGTGTTTGGAAAGGGCATCACCGACTTGTCCTCTTCTCAAAGCTGGTGCTGCTGTCTAAGGGCACCTGGTGCACTTTGTGTCAGTGGGAAAAAGTGCCTATGTGAGGAAGGGAACAGTGCAAACCTAGGTTTGCTCACACCACAGCAGTCACATTTCCTTTGCTGGAATTTTGCTGTTTCCATTATCTGCTCCTTAATGTCACCAGCGTTGTCCTCATGAGATCAGCATAAGGCTGAGCCAGGAGCTGTCACACACCACTGCTGATTACCCTGTGTTTGTTCTCACCAAATTGGAGCCAATTTGCAAGTCACAGCCTCTCCAGCAGTCCCTACATGAGCAGCATTTTCCCCAATGGTGCAAGAGAAAGGACCCAGTGCTCCTTTAAAGCTGGTTCTGCAGAATGCCTGCTGCTGCACATCCCCTGTGCACCATCCTGCTGGGTGTGCACCGTTCTGCTGGGCTCTGCTGCTGGGCTGGAGGGGAGCTCTGCAGCATAAGGACTTGCTTACAGCAAAAAAGAGTCGCTGGGAGAGTGAGGATGGGTATGAGAAACAGATCAGTGCAATTGCTTAATGCCATTTCCAAGATCATGATGAAGCGTTGGACCACTAGGCATCACCTGGGCAGGCTTGGGAACTGGGGTTGAGAATGAGTCGTGTTGGAATTTTTGGGGTTGGGCTGGACTAGGCAAGCTGAGTTGCCCCCCACCCCAACCAGCGTGGTCCCTTTCCTTCCTATCAGTGGGGGGGAGGAGATGCTGCGTCCCCTGACACCCCCTCCTCCCTCTCTTGCAGCTGACCTACCTGCCTCCGCCGTGGGGTGAATGTCGCTCGTCAGACATGGGCTTAGACTTCTTTCCCGTTTACAGCATCACGGCTTGCAGGATCGACTGCGAGACGCGGTATATTGTGGAAAACTGCAACTGCAAAATGGTTCACATGCCAGGTCAGTGCTCCCCTCCCTCCACCCAGCCTCCACCAGCCAAGGGACCTGGGACTAGAGGAGCTGGGAATATCTTGTCCTAAAGGGAAGAGGGTGCTAGAAATGTTTGCGAAATGCCCTGAAATAGGGGCAGGACTGGCAGAGGGCCATGGTTCTGGTAACACCTCTTTGTCCCTGGGTTAGCACCCTTGCGTGATGTTTGCTGTGATTCTCTGATTTGGAAAAAAGGCCCCCAGAGCCAGCAGAGATGGGATGGGTGCTGCAATCCCTCCATTGCCCAACGCGTCCTTGTCTTGCTTTGCAAATGTCAAGTCAGTGATGACATTTCCTTGTCCCCACACTGCCCTCAGCTCATTCTGGGACTGAAAAGGGGGACAGGACAGGGCTGAAAAGCTTCCATGTCACCAGTCCCTAGCAACAGTGGTGGATGTGTCCTTTCCCTGCAGGGGATGCTCCCTTCTGTACCCCGGAGCAGTACAAGGAATGTGCAGAGCCTGCGCTCGGTGAGTACCAGATGTCTCTGGATGTCACGGGAGTCCCAAGCTGGGGGGACTTCCAGCAGCCTATGTCCTTCTGGATGGGGTCATTAGGAACAGCTGCAGCCCAGAAATGGCTTTTGATAAGACCTGAATGTTGGAGAGGGCAGGATATTCCCTAGGATAAAGGTTCCTCTGCCCTATGGCTCCATCGAGGCAGCAAGAATCAGGGTAACAAGCACCCTGAGATGTGTAGGAGGGGAGAACCTCTGGGTCTAGGTCTGTGTTTGGGTTTGGATTGAGAGCTGGATTTGAGTTTGGGTTTGGATTTGAGATTGGGTTTGCATTTGGGTTTGAGCTTGGATTTGGAGTTGGGGTTGGGGTTGAGAGGGAGCAACCCATTCTAGTTTGGGATTGAGGAGACTCCAGGGTTGAGTGCTGTTGGCAGGATCAGATGCATGCAAAGGGTTGGCGTGTTACCAGCATGAGGTGAGTTACAACCCCAGGCAGATGCTGGTAATAGAGCATGGCCTCCAGCAAAGAGCCTGTCTTCAATCTGCTATGAATGGCGTGCAATAAAATGGAAAAGAAATGGCCAGGATTTCTTGCAGCTCTTCTCATTTGAGATCTGACTGTTTGTCTCCTTTCTGGGCTGTGTGACCTCTGGGTCCACATCTGCTGGATGTTTCCAACTCTTGAGATCGAACTTTGTCACCTTCTCCAGGTTTGCTTGCTGAAAAAGACAGCAATTACTGCATCTGCAGGACACCCTGTAACCTGACCAGGTACAACAAAGAGCTCTCCATGGTCAAGATCCCCAGCAAGACTTCGGCCAAGTACCTGGAGAAGAAATTTAACAAATCAGAAAAATATATCTCGTGAGTGTTGCAGAAAACAAAACTCCTCCATTTGGAAGGGGGGGGATGAAAAGTTTTCTTGGCATTTAAACATTTGTTTGCCATTTAAACAGTGCTTAGACCTTTCCAATATGGGCGTATGTCCTCCATGGGGGATTAGGGTGAGCCCTCAAAGAGATGAGGTGTGGGTTGCTTTCATCCCAGGAGAGCTATTGGGACACCTTGGTCCTCTACCAGTCCTGGGCACGTTGTTATCCATATGGAGACAGCAAGAGTTAATCCTTATTAATCATCATTCAGACTTCTGCTCTTACCATAAAAGTGAGATCCAGCACTCCTGAGCAGAGATCTTGGAGAGAAGTTCTCTCCAAGCTTGTGCTGAGGCTCCCAGAGCATGGCCTTGGCCCCCAAGTGCCTATAGGACACCAGAAAGAGTGATGAGGACAGGGGGTGGGGGAAAAGCCCCCAGGTCCCTTTATCTTTCCCTTGTCCCAGAGTGGTGGCTGATGGGCTGGTGCTGTTGTTCTCTTTCTACAGAGAAAATATTCTTGTCTTGGACATATTTTTTGAAGCACTCAACTATGAGACGATTGAGCAGAAGAAAGCCTATGAAGTGGCAGCCTTACTTGGTAAGGAGGTGTCGGGGTATGTTATCAGGTCTGTGTGAGCTGGGTGTATTTATGGGACAGGCAGATGCCACAATTGAGTGCATCCTGTGAAATCCCTTCTGACACCAAGCTGGGTAGTGTCCCGAGGGCCACGATCTGAGGGACCACAGCTAATCCATGTGTCACCCATGAGAGGTTAATGTGAGCTGCTCCATCTTTGCTGGATACCAGAGCCCTGATATTCAGGTTGAGCAGGCAATGGATGCTCTCAGTGGTGATTCTCATGCTGGAAGGCAGTATATGGAGAAAGTCATCTCTTAAAACCTTCTACCCATCACCTCTTACCTGCTCCAAATCCATCTTAATCTCCAACAGGGCCATCCAGGACCCCGGGCTCTTTGCCTTTGGGTGCTGCCCCACAGCTCGATGGGGAAAGTCAAGGAGCTGTTGGGCTGCTTAGCTTCAAATTGGGTCAAGCTTTGTGAGTGATGGTTAAAGATTTAAGTGCTTGAGGCTCATCAGGTTGGGCTGTAGAGGTGTTCAGTCAAGGAAGAGCTGGTGATGAAGCTGCTCTGGTAAAACCATAGGCGTGTTGTTCTCTCTCCTAGGTGACATTGGAGGCCAGATGGGGCTATTTATTGGTGCTAGTATCCTCACTATACTAGAGCTCTTTGATTATATATACGAGGTAAGTGCCTTGCCTTCACCTCATCCCTGGCAGGGGTTGGGCTTGAAAGCCTTGATGCCAGCTGGGGCCAGCACAGATCACAACCCTCCATGCCCAACATGCTCAACTAATGCTATAATTAATTATAAATTACTATAATATAAGAATTATAAGTTAATTACACCATATAATTCACCCCCAGTAGACCTCAAGCCAAACAAACCCTCCCTGGAGCATTCTCTCCTCCAGGCTCTCATTTCCCACTCTTCTTCACCATATTGCACAAGGGTTAATGTTGGGGGTCAGGTTCATGGCTTTTGATTGTAAAGGGCAAACTGAGCAGCTGGAGGGGCTGCAGCAAACCTCTGGGTTTTAGCTCCTGTTTGCAATGAGATGACCCCAAGAACCCAAACATGCAGGCCCTATTTTATAGCAGGAAAAAATGAGTTTATGGCATAGTTACAAGTGGGATGTGACACCTCTGGGGAGAGGCAGTTCCCAGCAAATCTGTCACTTCCCATCCCAAGATGGGAGGTTTAATGCAATATTTTTAGTCTCCCTGTACCGAAATCTGCAATCATTTGGACCTCCATCATCCAGCTCTTATCATGATGGCACTGGGGATTTTTAATCCTATGGGATATTGTATTTAGAGGTTGTTTGTGGCAGTTGTCACAACAGTGTGTGCTGAGCCAGCTGGGTGCACAGGGATGTTGGGCTGCTTCAATCTTCCTGGAACATCCTTAAAAAAACTCTTCAATTTTATTAAAGTATAGATGCTGGCTCTGCATTTTAAGGCAGTCACTCCCCATCGCAGCTCCTTCTGGGTGGCTGTTAGCACTTGGTAGCATTATCCTGCAGTAAAATAGATTGAAAATTACAAGCATAAAGCTAATAATGGCTTGGGTGTGCAAACAGAGCCGGGTGCCTTGGTTTATATCTCAGTCTGAATTCACACCATATTTCATTAAAATCTCCTATTCTCAGCTATCTTGGGCTTCTTTCATAAGAAGGTAATAAGAAGCCTTGCTAAGTCTGGATTTTTTTTCTTCTCTTTTTCTTTCCTTTGTTTGATATCTGCTTATGGAACTTGTCTAATAGTTTCCTCATGCTGTAATTTTTTTCTTTCTTTCATTCTTTTTTTGGGGCAAACGTGGCTTAAGAGAGCATCCCATCTCCTGATGCACACCTGGGGCTGCACAGCGAGTCCACCTTCATGGTCGTGATGGATCTTTGACCCACACTGGGCAGGGAGAGCAGGAATAAAATGCCTCGAATAGCTCTGATCTGCTCAGGGCTTCAGCAAAGCTGGGCTCAAAGCACCTTAAACTCATTGCATTGTCAACCAAAGCATCTGCAAACTCTCTGAGATTGCCAGCAAGCGGATGCGCCTGTTGTTTTCTATTAGCTTACCCAAAATCAAAAGGGTTGAACCTAGAAATGACTTTTCACATTGGTCACGCTGCTCAGTCCTGGACCAGGGCAGAACGTGCAGCCAGTCCTGCATCCCACCAAGCATCTCCTGCCAGCATCAGGAGGATGCTTTGAGAACTGCTTCTTTAGGAACTGACCCAATTGCTCACATTTTTAGTGTGCTTCTTTGGGTTGTTGTTTATTTTTTCCTCCCTGTGGAAGGTTTTCAGTAAAAAAAAAAAAAAAAAAATGCACTCCCTTCTCATCCTTTGTGGGATTTCCCTTGAAAATCAAATCGGCTTTTCAGCAGCAGCTCCTGAGGAGCCGTGGTTGCAAGGGGAAGCTGTGTTCACATAGCTGACATTTTCAATATACTCCCAAATAGATATTTTTAAATTGAGGTTTGGGAGCTTTTTGTTGTTTTTCTTGTGAAAAAAAAATCAGGTTTGACACATGGGCTGGTTTTCTCTGGAAGATTTTCTCCTTCCTTCCCGTTGAATCTGGGTCCTCCAAACCCAGTGCCCCTCCAGCTCTGGAGGTGGCCACAGCTTTCACCATGCTTTTAGGTGTTGTATTGAAGGATATGGTTTAGTAGGGAAATAAATATTGGTGGTAGGTGGATGGTTGGACTGGAAGGTGTTGGACTGGAAGGTCTTGGAATTCTTTTCCCACCGTGGTGCTTTTATGATTCTATGGTGAATCTCAAAAATTCAAGGGAGGGTTGGCCAGCTCGATGAGGTGGAGTCACTGCCTCTAGAGGTGTTCAGGAAATGATGCTGTACTCTGGGACACGGTCCATTGGTGATAGCTGGATGGACGGACTGCGTGATCTTGGAGGTCTTTTCCAACCTTGGTGATTCTAATGATTCCACGCCTTGCTGATGTCAGAAGGCACCTTGCTCACCTCCTCCCGCCCAGCTTAGAATCACAGAATCACCGAATTCTACGATTAACCAACCCTCCCTCTTTTGCAGCTGATCAAGGAGAAATTATTAGACCTACTTGGCAAGGAGGAAGAGGAAGGGAGCCATGATGAAAACGTGGTAAGGAGCCCCATCACTGCGTTATTTCCCAAGGACTGATCGTGCTTCCATAGCAAAGGAATTTAGCGGTGCCAACGAGGAGAGGCAGTGGGTGGAGAGCAGCCCCGGGGTAACCCCGTCCCGTTTCTCCATCGCAGAGCACTTGTGACCCCATGCCAAACCATTCGGAAACCATCAGCCACACTGTGAACGTGCCACTGCAGGCTACCCTGGGAACACTGGAGGAGATCGCCTGCTGACACCGCCCGACCTCCGCACAGTGCCAACACCCAAGGAAGGGAAACTGCACGGGAAAGCAGGGACCGAGCTCAGGTTTGCAACGGGGGCAAAAAAAAAAAAAAAAAAAAAAAAAAAAAAAAAAAAAATAAAAAAAAAAAAACAACAACAACAGGAAGAAAATCGCTATGCATTAAAAAAAAATAATAATAATAATAAATATATATATTATATATATACTCTGCCAAAACCAAGCGAGAGGCGCCTTGGACTTGACTTGTGTTGTCCTTTCCTCTTGGGGGGGTTGTCTCCAAGCTGTGAAGGGCAGCAGCTCCTTTCTGAACTGTACAAAACACAGAGACCAGCACCACAAACACAGAGAAGCCCCGCCACCTCACATACTGCCAGATGTACAAAGCACTTGCATGCCAGTTCTTTTTACGGCAATATATCCCTAGCTGTCTTTATAAGCTCTGTTCCTCTTTACAGTCTCTGATTTTCACTACAAGAAGGAACTCGCGGGCCCAGCCATCCCCTGAAATCACCATTACTAACGTCGTAGGCTGAATTAGAATAAAGAAACAAAAAGTCGCAGCTCTTGGATTCTTCTTACGTTCTTGTCCTTCGTGTCAGTCTGTGATGAATCTTAAGCTAAGCCAGGTCCCCGAGGCCGGGCCACCTCAGCGCTGCCCGACACCCCCAGGTGAGCATCCCTGCGGAGGGGCCGGACCGCGTGGCTCTCGGTGGATCGCCCCCACCCGGCTGCTGTGTCGTGCTCCTCCATCTGCAGTGCCTGGACAGTCCTTGGGGGGGGGGGGGGGGGGGGGGGGGGGGGGGGGGGGGGGGGGGGGGGGGGGGGGGCACGGGGCGGTGGGTTTCTGAAGTTTTCTTTTTTAATTTTTTATTTTGTGTGTGTGTGTGTGTGTGTGTGCGTGTTTAATTTTTTATTATTATTTTATTTTACTTTTTTTTTTTTTTTTTTCTTTCTGTTAATGGATTCTGTGCTTTCTCCTCGTTCTCATGACTGATATTAAAGCTGGTCTTGTGGAAATGGCCGGGCTGTGTCATTTCTGCCTTGCTCCCACCCCCACTCCAGCTGGAGCCCCCAGTTCAGTCTGGGTGAGAGGCAGGCACTAGGATGAGCCCACCCTGCTCCCTCGCCCCTTCCCCCTCCATCTTAGTGCACGGTGGGCACAGTGCCCTGCCCTTTTGTCCCCCACTACATCCCCATCTGCACTGCCTGTGCGTCGTGCTCATCTCTTGGAGTCTCATGAATCACTGACCAAGAGGTGGAAGGGAACCGGGTCAAAATGATGCAGTTCTCCCCTCAAAAAAGAGAGAGAGTGAATTTCGGGAAGCTCCCAACCCTGCTGGTTTTGTAGCCTGGAGGTGTGGTGGTTGGGTCTGCAGCTGGCTGTGGGACTGACAGCATCACTTTGCCCTGGGAAAAGTGCAGAGCCATCATAAAATCAAAGAGTCATGAAGGCTGGAAAAGACCTGTCAGTTCCCCAAGTCCAACCCCAATCCATCCCACCATGCCCACAGACCATGTTCCCAAGTGCCACATCTCCACGTTCCATGAACACCTCCAGGGATGGTGACACCCCAAGGGCAGCCTGTGCCAATGCATCACCACTTACTGAGAGAAGAAATTGTTCCTAATATCCAACCACCTCGCAGGCAAGCAAGAAACCAACCAAGGGTGCTCAAGGTGGGTCTGTCTTGGGAATAATTGCCCCCTTCTTCCAGCCCCATCATCTGTCTTGCTTTGTGGGACCAACATGAAGAGCTTCTGACACAGGGCTGGGCTTACATGGGCAGCTCTCCTGGCTGATGGTGATTGCCATTTCCAGGCCAGAGGAGACATAAAACCCTCCATGTTGTCTCTAAAATCTGCTATGATGACCGTACTCCTGATGGGAAATGAAGGCAGCCGGTGCCCAGCCCAGGTCCCTGCTGGTGGCACTGACCTCAGTGCAATGACTCAGGATAGCCAAGCTGTCTCTGCAAACCCCAAACCACATTCTCCCATCACACGCCACCACGCTTGGCACCATTTTGACTCCTCTCCCTGATTTTGGTGTGGCTTTGGCTGGTTGGATGGTAAAGAGGAGCTTTGCTTGGGTGAACACAGGGACAGAATTACAGCCCAGTACTCATCAGCCAGTGAGTAACCCCAAGTCATGGCACCAAGGATCGTTATAATACATCTCACACACATTTGGGCTGAATTTTCCTTCACATTCTCTTGCCCTACAGCCAAAGTTAGGCACCAGTCCCCTCAATATTTTGTTCCCATACACAAAAAATAAGGGTCCCAATGAAATACACAGCTTGTGAGCCTCAGCACCCCGAAAAACATCACCACCATGAAAAGGGGCAGGCAAAGTCCTTTCAGACCTGGAGATTCCAATTCAATCTCTTCCAGCCTGCCAGGGGATAATGCCTCCTAAGGGTTAATGGCAGCAGTGACTCCTGGAGTCATTTGGATGGATATAAATATCCCCACTTGGCCATTTAATCTCTTATAAGAGTTTTTGGTGAAGAGCCGTTAGAAGTCGTTGCTGAAGCTCGATGAGATGGGACACCTCAGGGCTGCCCAGAGGTGCTGTGGAGAGTTTTGCTGATACACCCTAGAGAGAAAAGCCAGTTGAGCATGCAGGCTGGCGTGGAACAGCAGCAGATTGCTCCCAAAGAGCACAGCCTGTGAGGGGTGTGCTGAAGAGCCCCTTTGGTCCTTATCAGTTTCATTATCTCCTGAGACTTGGACTCAGGCCACACGGTCATTATCCATGGAATGCCCAGCAGCCATTAGCTGCTAACAAGTGCTCAACAACAGCACAGCTGTGAAGCTGCAGAGATGCCAAACTCCATCTCCTGTTGCAAAACCCATGTGGTCCCTTCTAGGCCAGTGGAGGGAATTTGTGCCACCTTGACCCAAGGAGACTCGTTGTGACATCTCCAGGCCCTTATACGTGCATAAGGTTGAAGCAGCCATTATAGCCCAGTCTGGTCTGGGCTCCTTGTACAAACTGGTCTTTCTCTCCCTTAAGTTCATTAAAGGCTGGGAAGAGGGTTGGCCATACAAGCATATTGGTCTTACATTCTCAGTGGCCTTACATTTGTGGTGGCTGTAGAATCATGGTGGCCTTACAACCATGGTGGCCTTGTATCTATGGTGGCCTTGTTGTCTTATATCCATGTTGTCTTATATCCACGGTGGCTTTATATCTATGGTGACCTTGCAGCCATGGTGGCCCTTTGCACTGTGTCTCTGTGCTTGAAGGCCCATGGGCATCTCCTGCTTTGGTTTGGAGTCCACAGGAGAAATGGGAACATCATAGGATCCAGACCCCAAATGCAAAAGCAGCTCACAAAGTGGCGCCCAGAGAAGATGGAGAGATGAGTGAGATGATGCCAGTGGGCTCCAGCAGATAAACTGTCATCAGCCTGGACGAGGGCACCTCCAGACCAGGCAGACTGAGAAACCTCAGCTCCTGGTCTTCTGTGCTGAATTCCTGAGGCTGTCATTTCCTAAAAGATGTGTTTGATTACTCAGTCTGTATCTCAACCCACAACAGCTTGAACACTGATGGTTTCCCAGAATTTGTCCTCATTCCCATCTCCCATCATGAGAGATGCCCCAAAACCACAACCAAAATTTCTTCATTGGTGGTGCTGATGGTATGGAGGAGTCCAAACACAGCATCTGACTGGTGGCCAACATATCCCAGAATGAAGAGCCTCGTGCTGTGCTAGGTTCCTGCAGAATGCAGCAACACCAGAAACCTTGGGCAGGCAGCAACTCAAAGGGAGGCAGGACTGTGAACTGCAAAGCCTTGGTCTGAGAGCTGCAGGGGAGGGCTGAGCCTTGGCAAGCCGCCTGCCAGGACACAAAAGTTCAAGTCATTTCATTTAACAGAGGGAAGGTGAAGAGGTGGCTCCCTCAGTCCATAAATTCCACTGTAGTGAGATTTCTAATAAAAGGTTCTTTAATTTGGCAGACAAAGCCACAACAGGAGGTCGTGGCAGAGGGGAAGCTAAATGCAATCAAATAAGAGCCTGCTGGGGAGCGAGGATGCTCCCTCAGCCCCGCCAGCCTTTCAATACTTTCCCAGCACAACATTCCCAGAGCACTGCCCCATCCCTGCAGCACTCAGAGCTGGCTGATGGAGAAGGCCGTGCAAAGAGCATTAAAGGAGCCTCACTTAGAAGTGAAGACCCCTTTGCTGGTGTCACCCTACCCCCTTGCAAGTTGGATTGGTACCCAGTTTTTCCACCAATAGACAACCACAAACCCTTTTCGTCTCCAGGGCATTCACACCAGATTCCGGTCTGGTCTTTGGGTCTTTGCAGCAGTGTCACTCTTCCACTTACAGCTGTTTGATGGCTTTGACTTTCAACAACTGAGGGATAGTTCATAAAAATAAGTCCCATATTTCATCTGTTTATCACACTGAAAGTGCTGTGATCTCCAAGACAGGCAGGGAACAAATAATTACCACTGGGTACAAAGTGTTTTTCTGTCAAGGATCTAGCATGTCAATTGATTAAAGGCAGTGCACATTGTGTTGACTCTGACGGTCTTATCTATCAGCTGCAAAGCCAAATTCATATTGGAAGAAAGAGAACATTCTGCCATGTCCCGGGGTGGCTGAGAACTTGACTTCCTGCTCCCTACAGTATTATTAAGCACTGATAAAGAGCTCAGCTTTTAGGTGACGCTCAGTGGCATCTCAATGGCAGCAGGCAGCAGAGCTGTGCTGGCTTGACCTGAGCCTGGCATTGCTGCAGGAGTCCATGGGGGTCTGTGAGTGATGCCCATCTGCCCACAGCTCTCATCCGAGTTGTAAAACAGGAATCCATCCCTCCTGTGAAGCTTCCAACAGGAGCTGCCTTCAGGAGGAGATTCAGGACCTGCGGGGCTTGGGTGCAGCCCAAGGGAAAATTAACTTCAATCCTGACTTAAAATCTCAGACTGGGTGCTGGCATCATGCTGGAAGTACTCTTTGCCCCCTCTTTGTTCTTCCCATCCTCTTCCTTTCTCTTTACATTCATTTTTCCTATTTTTACCTGCTTTTCTCCTGGACAATACCCAGTCT